AAGGTTCCAAGGATTTGTGTTTGTTTATATTTCATCCCCTTTTCGATTATCACTTTTACCATACCCTCCGCTCCCTTTTTTACTTTATTTATTCGGGTTGTAGGTGTAGATAAACAGCTTTATCCTTCTTAGCATGCTCATCTGTATCAGCTTAGGGCCTATATGAGTCTGTATACGGAGAGAGTATCGCAGTGTGAGCATACAGATTCAATATGATCCCAAGACACAATATGTCGCTGCCAAGTTGGATGTGATTAACACGTGCATGTGAAATATCAAGTGCAGGTAAGGTGATCATCATGTTATTATGGCTTGACTTCTAGCCTCAACAATATCATAACAACAAATCTGGAAGAAAAATGTAAGATGGAAAGCTTCCGCTTCCGGCCACTCCAAGTAATATGTTCCAAACAGAAGAGAGAATACGCAATGAATTAATAAAGAAAGAAGAGACACAAAATTCGACAATGCACAACAAATATTACTTGCCCTTACTTTGATAGTCCTAATCAATGCCCCATTCGGTTCTCACAACTTCAGTTTACCAACCTCACTTTAAACCTCCCCTTCCCACTGCATACCAAAAGAAATACTGTGGTGAGACTCTTTATCACAAGAATCTCCCATGGAGATTTGATTGTTCTCACTGAAAATATTCCTCTGCTATTCAGCGAGAAGGAGCGGTTTCAAGACAGTATACGAAGGAGCAGCCGCAAGGAAAACGTGAAGATAGGACAACAGAAAGAGCAGAAAGAAATGGTGGTTCTTGTCCCCGCTTTATAAGAGAATAGCGGTCATTGACTCATTGTCCCCATGAAAAAAAAATTATTGGAAGGGTGTATACAACGAACATAAATTACCACACGCAGCAAAACCTCCACCAGTAATATCCCCACACTTGGCAAAACTATGACACAGAACTAGCTGGTCTCCCAGTCCGGGAATTGAACCAGGGTCTCAACCGTTATTAGGTGATCACAATTATGATCGATCTTGACAGGGTCGGATACTAGCCACTATACTAACTGGGATTTGAGAAATTCAGTGAAATCTGGACGGATTTATTGCTGGTCCAGATTTAAGTTTTGTAACTCTTTCAGTCTTTGTGATTCCACATTGCATGGTTTGGGTGCAATCTTAATTGGAGAATGACTTGGACTTCATAATAATATAGCCATATTGTGTCGAATTTATGCAGTTTAGATCATTTTGATGATATCCTTTCAGTGTTAAGTATCCAGTTATTTTGTCCTTAATATTGGGATATGCATTTGTTTTAGTCATGGACTTGTCTATGCAGAACAACGCTAACGCGAATTTCTGTTTCCTTGTATTGTTTTCAAAGGCGGGCATTCATCTTTTTGAATAATGATCAAGATGGTTGATTTATTTTGCCACAGATATATGGCAACAGTGTTATTGTTATTACTTGTTGTCCTCGCCATGGCACAACATCAAGTTTCGTGTGTTTGTTGTATTTTTGGTTAAATTGCAGGCGACATGCCATGAATGTACTTTTTTTCGATAGTTACAAAAATGAGTTATTGGGTTAATTTGCCAGATGAGATAGCACCAGTGGAGCCAGTTGTGTTATCCTTATATTTGTCGAGGC